GGGGCCATGCGGTTTAGGGTTTAGGGTTTAGGATTTAGGGTTTAGGGTCTCGTTAGAGTTTGGGGTTTAGGGTTTAGGGGTTGCTGTGGGCTATCAGTCCGGTCGAGATCTGACAATGCCGTTGCAAAAGGGTTTAGGGTTTAGGGTGTACTTATTGGGATTGTGTCCCTTTGTTTCACTGTCAGCAGACCTCGAACGTTACGTGCCTCGCCTGGATTGTTCGAGCGCGAGCGCCGAAATCCTAAAACGTATTTTCAAGCCCTTTGAAACCCAAAGCCCTTGAAGCCCTGAAAGATTTGAGGCCTCAAGCCTTGAAAGCCCTTTAAACCCTAAAGCCTCGAAGCCCGTGCCCCCCCGGCTATTTTGCCTGAGTACTCGTACCGACTTATTTTGAACAAATGCTCCATTACAAGAATTCCCTGAACCCCGAACCCCGTCTTGCCGAGTTGCAAAAAAAGCCTCTCCTTCAAAGTAGCCCCTGTATCTGAACAGTAGAACACCCCAGAACCCTGTTTCAACTATTCCGACCTCTAGATTAAGCCGACACCCTAAAAAAAGAATAGCCCTAAGCCCTAATTGCCTTAAACCAAAAAGCCTGAAACCCTGAACCCTAATATCCCTAAGCCCTCATAGCCTTAAAACCTAAACCCTACACCCTAAAACCCTAAACCCTAAACCCAAAACCGTACCGGCAGCCGGAAACTTCGCGAGGCGACTGCCGAGGCGATCTCGCGGCAGCTCGGAATCCTCGCCCCAAACTCGGCCATTGGGCAGAGCTTACGGCTCAGGGTTTTGGGTATAGGGTTTAGGGTTTTGGGTCTAGGGTATAGGGTTTTGGGTCTAGGGCATAGGGTTTAGGGTTTTGGGTCTAGGGTATAGGGTTTCGGGTTTAGGGTATAGGGTTTAGGGGTTAGGGGTTGGGGATTACCTGGACCCTAAAGAACCTACCTTTTAGGGCTCCTTATTCTGAATTTCTTATTTAAAGTCTTTAGAAAGGTAGGTTCTTTAGGGTCTAGGTATAGGTACGGCATAAGTTTAGGGTTTGGTGTTTAGGGGTTGAGGGCAGTTCCGGGCGAGAGAAGCCTGCTGCAAAAAAGGGTGCTTAGGGTAGGGGTTCGGGGTTTTCTTGTGTAGAGGATCAGGGTTTTGGGTTTTTAGGGTTTAGGGTTTAGGGTTTAGGGTTTAGGGTTTTTAGGGTTTTAGGTCAGGGGCGATATATACATATAGATACAGATAGATAGATGGGATTTGATTTGACTTGAGTTGACTTGATTTGATTTGATTTGGTTTGATTTGATTTGGTTTGATTTGATTTGATTTGATTTGATTTGGTTTGGTTTGGTTTGATTTTGATTTTGATTTTGATTTGATTTGATTTGACTTGACTTGATTTGACTTGACTTGATTTGATTTGATTTGATTTGGTTTGGTTTGATTTTGATTTTGATTTTGATTTTGATTTTGATTTTGATTTTGATTTTGATTTGATTTGATTTGATTTGGTTTGGTTTGGTTTGGTTTGATTTTGATTTTGATTTGATTTGATTTGACTTGACTTGATTTGACTTGATTTGATTTGATTTGATTTGGTTTGGTTTGGTTTGATTTTGATTTTGATTTTGATTTGATTTGATTTGATTTGATTTGATTTGATTTGATTTGATAGATAGATAGATAGATAGATAGGTAGAAAAGGATCCGGAAGGGTTCCTGTGAAGGCTCGCTTCTGGGCTCCTTTTTGGGACTTGCCAAGCACCTTTTGGGGTTTCAGCGTTCCGAGTTTGGGGGTTTTACCTTCGGGGCTTTGATGTGTTGGGGTTTGGGTAGAGATTTAGGGTTTGCAGGTGCAGAGGTTCAGGCTTGACCCAGAAGTAGGTTTCGAACAGCACTCCCGCTCCAGAGGCGCTCCAATTTACAAGCCATCAGGTGATTGTTCTTGTTTGAATCAGGCTTGGGTTGCATGAAATATGACTTCTTGCTTGGGAATTTCGGAGCTTCTAGCTCCCCAGTCACATTGAGGACTGCAAAGGACAGGGGTTCGAAAGACCCACCCGCACATCATCGGGACGCAGCGTTGGTAGGTTTGATGACCCTAAAACCCTAAAACCCTAAAACCCTAAACCCTAAACCCTAAAACTCTAAACGCGGCTTGCACATGGCCCCTGCCTTGAGCTCCTGTTTCAGTTTGTCTCCGGCCTAGCTTAGGGTTTAGGGTTTAGGGTTTAGGGTTTGGGGTTTAGGGGTTTAGGGGTTAGGGGTTTAGGGGTTTAGGGTTTATATGGTCAGCGCGGCTTTGAGCATCTCTCTTCCCATGTCTGCCGGCAAAAGTTAAGGCATCTTGCTGTGTTGGGGCAGAACGGAATGTCCGAGCAAGACAACTAACTATGGTTCTCTTCGCTTTTTTCTAATTAAGGTACTCATCATCCTACCTGCTAGGCCCCCTGAGGATTCAAATCAAGCTGAAGACATGGACCAGAGCTGATAATGTAGGAACCTGATTAAGAAACCCTAGCCCTATAACCCCAATATACTAGGATCCATACTAAGAACCCTGATCAAGACCCAGGCAGGGTTTCTTAGTCAGGTTCCTACATTATCCCTAATCCTTCGACCCTAGACCCTAAACCCTAAACCCTTGAAGCTCCAGGCTCTACACGGCAAGCCCGAAACCCGGGGAGTCTTACACCCTGAACCCCAAGCTTCACACCCTAAACGGCCCTAAACCCTAATACAGGGGCCTGAACTTATTACAATTATAGCAGAATATACCCCAAAACTCTATTCTCATTTTTTAGGGCCCCTAGGTTAAACGCTACAGCCTAAGCCTTGAAGACCACAAGGATGCCAGCAAAAAGTCCCTCACGGGCAAAGAGTTCGAGGACATGTCCGAGACAGACAGGGCGCAGGTCCTTTCAAGAATGAGCCTCGGTTCACTGGAGGCTGCCATTTGGGTAGTTCTCTAAGTTAGGGTCCCTTTTAGGGCCCTTTTTATACATGTGTGCCGTATACTGGGGACCTAAAAAAGGGACCCGACTTTAAAGAACTACCCATTTACGGTTTAGGGTTTGGCAGAGACTGCAACTTACTTTCGGACGGCACGGCCCCTTCAGAAGCCTGTGGAAAGGAGAAAGCGCGGGAAAGGAGGGAGGGACGAAGGGACGAAGGGAGAGGGAGAGAAAGAAGTGTAAGTTTTATGGTAACTTGCTTCTTTGACCAAGGCAACGACGGCGATAGCATGATTGACAGTGCAGCAAGACATGTTCCGCCCCAAAACCTTACAAGTCCGACTATCAGAGCATTGTAAAGCCCTCTTAAGCCTGCATCGCAGATTGTTTGCGGATTGACTACCTTAAGAACCCCAAACCTACTTTTTTGTAGGTTCTTATTATAAACCCTAATATGGGATTTATAGGGACCCTACAAAAAAGTAGGTTTTGGGTTCTTAAGGTATTCTGATCCTATAAACCCCCAACCCTAAAACCCAAACCCTAACTCCAACGAGGATGTCTGACCGTGGATGCGAGGGAGCGGTCTTCTCGCGCACCTCGGAAGGAATATGATGGATTAGGGTTCGGGGTGGGGTATAGGGTTTGGGGTTTAGTGGTTTTTCCCTTTAGGGTTCCGGGTTTCCGGGTTTAGGGTATGGTATAGGGTTTGGGGTTTCGGGGTTTGCTGTCGGGTATGGGGTTTGCGGTTTCGGGATTTAGGCTTCAGGGGTTTAGGATACTCCTGTATACTGCTGCAGGGTCTAGGGCCTAGTCTTGAAGCTTAAGAGACACTTGGCCTGAAGTCCCAGGATTTTCGCCACGAAAGAGCCCGAATTCAGCGTCCGAGATCTAGGGAGATAGGGTTCGTGCCTCGAAGGGACCTCGGGGGGTGGTGAGGTGCCTTCCTGTCGGTGCTACATGCTCTGCTTCGGTAATGCCAGCATGTATAGGCTGAAAATCATGAGGCACGCGGTTCTGGTGTACCGGTTTACAGTAGGGTTTAGGGTTTGGGGGAGGAGCGTCATGTTCTTCAGCCCTGCATCTTCAACTCAACATGTCCGTACACCACGGGCTCCGCGGACTGCAAGGTTGTGAAGCGGCATTAGCGGCCCTACGCGTTCCCTTCGCACTACATTAGACCACCGTTGACCTACACGGTTGCAAACCCCCCACTACATTCTGGGTTAATGCAAAGGCTTTTAAATTCAATCCTTACCGACAAGTAGGTCATTGTAAATTTCTTGTTTATTCAGCACCCCTAACCCTGAGCCCTGAAATCCTATCTTTTCTCAAAGGGACACGTCGGATCAAGGTAATCCCGCTGGAGCCTCTGTAGGGCATATAGGAGCCTGAACACAAGTAGTAGCACTGGTCCCGTATATCTCCGGTATGATGAAACTACGCCCCAACAAATAGGTAGCATTATTAGGGGTACCCCTTAAAGGGTACCCCTTCCTTAAAAGGGACCTTATTGAGAGGGTCTACATCCCCAAGGGTCCCCCTAATCTTAGCTCCCAACAAACAAATCCCATTCCCAGTTTTCGTTGAGCTTTGTCTTCGGCATGCGTCCGGTTCCTCCGCTTGTACTGATCCCTAAACCCTAAACCCTAAACATCCCCAAACCCTAAACCCTAAACCCATTGAGAACAGGCATGGAGCCCAAACACAAGCAGATCGTTGTGAAGCTTCTCGGCTTAAGGAGGAGCAAGGCCGAGGATTCTCGGGCTTGCGGAACTTAATCTGAGTTGCCAGTGATAGGTATCTATATATATATATATATGCATATATAGATACATACATAAATTTCTGCACCATCAGCCAAATACATTCATGCAGACTTGGTTGCCAAACCTGACAGTTTAAGGTTTAGGGCTACCCTGACCTCATTCTTGGCTAGTGCCTGGGAGGCTAGTCCGTAGTACTAGTGTGCTCCCGTGCCTGCGTGGATGTATATTTCGCGCATCTATGGAGACCAGATGCAGGAAGGTCGAATTACTCCGAGCCCAAAGCCCGAAAGGGCCCCCGGAGGCGCTTGAATGCAATTTGGAAGGCAGAGCTTCGGATAATGGCGGTCCCTAACCTTAAACCCCTGAACCCCTAAACCCTAAACCCTAAATCCCTAAACCCTAAAGTGGCTGGCCGCAAGAGATCCCGAAGCCTATCAGCGCCTTGAGAGGTCATTCGGACTTGAGGGTTTCGGAATGTGGCCTTAAACCCTAAACCCTAAACCCTATTCTAACTAGAAGGCCCCTACATGAAACCCACCAGGGGCTCAAGGATATTACCCTCTTCGTTTGACAGCAGTCTCCAGGATGCTCAAGCAGCAAGACGAGATTGTAGCTATGCTTCTTGGTTTCAAAGAGTCAGGGCTTTGGGTTTAGGGTTTAGGGTTTAGGGTATGCTTCTTGGTTTCAAAGAGTCAGGGCGTTTTGGGGTCATAGCTAGGCTTCTTGGAACCCGTATATCCTAAGCCCCAAGATTTCCCTCATTAGTAGCGCAAGCAGATTGACTATTGCGCTTCTTTTTTATTTGTTCTCTCTCTCTCTCTCTCTGTCTCTTTGTCTCCCTGTCTCTCGCTCGCTCGCTCGCTCTCTCCTCTCTCTCTCGCTCTCTCTGTCTCTCTCTTTGTGGCATCTTGCAGTCCAGCGGTCTTCGAGCTGTCCTAGTTGCGGCCAAAACCCAAGATTCAAAATCGGTGTGTTTTGCCTCCAGCCGTAAGCGTGCATGGGCCGCCGGTGTTAACGATTTCGGAGTGGCTGTTGAACGCAAGCTGCCCGAAGAAGAATAAGAAGATATCCCCAACCTGTGTGAGTATCAACTTCACCTCGCTCTCCGAACAAGATTGCAAAGCTCGGCCGCGTAATGTAGGGGCCTAAATAATTACCAATACCATGTTGGGGATTCCTTAGTTTAAGTATAGTATTATGTGCCCCAAAACACTGTTCTAAGTATCAAGGCCCCCACACTACCAGGACAGGCGACGGAGTGAACGATGCGCCTGCCTTGAAGCAGGCCCCGTCCGGTTACCTCCTGGGGCTTCTGGGGTCTTCTGGTTCTGGTTCGGTTTAGGGTTTAGGGTTTAGGGCCTTCTTCTAGCCAGTACATAGCTTGACTGTGATCGAAGCTACTACCCTGAAGCTGCGGGTGCACTAAAAGCCGAAACCCACTGCTTGGTGGCTGCTCTGTTTTGCGCGACTGCCCCTGACGCGGTAGCTCAGCAGACCCTCGTTGCCAAGCCCCACAACATATTTGTGCCCGTGCTGCCGGCAGAAGAGTCGGAAGCTACAGCAGTCCACGCCTTTCCCCTCCCCCATCGCACACATCCCCGCCAGTAGTATGGGCTTGCGCTTTTTATTTTGATCTCCTGACTGAAACCCTTTTAAATGGGACATGCCGTTGTCATAAATTCGATACTGGGGAACTTAGTGCACCAGGCCGACATTGGCGTGGCCATGGGCATGGGAGGCACGGAAGTGGCAAAAGAAGCCTCCGCCACTGGCTAGCACAGAGGCCTTGGAGAATCACGGTTTTGGGCTGAAGGTCTGCGTAAAATAGGGTGAGAGCCACTGACACTGCATACATACATGCACGAACATTTTCACATACCTCGCGACCGCTTATGACTAGATTCCTCCTCCAATGGGTTTCGAGCTGCTTTAGCCTTAGCCCTAAACACAAAAGCCCTGAACCGAAAAGTCGTTAAACCCTAAGCCCTAAACCCTTAAACCCTAAAACTGAACCGAAAAGTCGTAAGCCTCAACCTCACCAAAAGAATCTTCAGCCTCAAACCAGAGCCATCGCCCGGTTAGCCACACCGTAGGCATCAGGCGTCGAAAGCGGGAAGGGCAAGCCATATGGGTGGTTGTCAAAATTCTGGTCCCTTTTGGGGTACCCTAAATAATAGGTGCCGTATTATAATAGGGACCCAAAAAGGGACCACAATTTTGACAACCACCCATAT